CCCTCCATCCTCCATGGGGTGTTAGTCGAAATAGTCTTTGGCGGAAAATTGCCAGATTTCATCAAAGCACCTATTATCTAGGGTCTTGTTGTTGCATCTCATGCAGCTGGCGGGAGGGTAGAAGAAGCAGCGGAACAGGGGCATGGGGATCTGGCGCCAGGCTTCCCACACCTGCTTTTTGCCCTTGGGTTTATCCTCCTCGTAAGCATACTTGAAAGCAAAGGCTTGGAAACGGGAATCGAAGCCCTGCAAGCTGCGCTCCAGGTCTGACAAGATGTATGTGCTGCTGTTGGGGTTCAGGCAATAATCTAGGCAGGGAGAGATCAGGGAGAAGAAGATGAAGCAGCTGTTGTTGGGTGGATACTGCTGCTTTTTGGTGGCCAGGAACCTTTCCAGGAAGTTGCCTCTGAAGTCAGGTGTGTTGATGGTGCCCACCAGCACAGCCTCCGCGTGCCAGGTCGTATACTCGCCCTTCTGCAAAATGGCCACCATGAAGTTGTCCTGGTTGATGTAGAAGTCTCGATCCAGTTTTCCCTTGGCCCGGACATCACGCAGCCTCTTCTGGATGGTGGCACCTTCCTGCTCTGCGAGGGCTGGTTGCTGGCAGGCCGCGCGTGGCAGCAGCGTGGCCACTGCATACTGGGGGGTATCATTCATGCCCCTAGAGCCAAAGCCAGACAAAATTGGGAGTGGGGAGAGGGCAGCACCAGCTAGCCAGCCCCACTGCTACTCTGACAGCCCCCCACTGCCTGGGACATGTACCAACCAAGCCTATCCCAGGGCACCTACCAACCAACCCCTCTCCCCCTCCCTATGGCACCTGCCAGCCAACCCTTCCCCTGGATGCCTGACATCCAACCCCTTCCAGGGCACCTGCCAGCTAACCCTCCCACCCCCATGGGGCACCCTGGGAGCTGTGAAGGCAGCAGATGTGGAGCCAGGGATGGGTAGGAGAGTGGATGGAGACAACAGTCCCAGGGAATTCAGAGTGAAGGCTGCACCCCCCGTGCATGACTCTGCCCCCCCATGGTCCATAGGGGCCAGCTGGTCCATCAGCACCCCAGACTTCTGGCCCCTTTTCCTCTGTACCCCCCAGCTGCCCTGTTCCCTGCTGGCTCTGGTCCATAGCTCAACTTGGGGGCCGTGCCCAGGAGCAGCCATGCTCATTTGACTGCCCAGGACCTGGCACTGTGTGCATGGGATGGTCTCTCTGACAGCCCCTGTGGAGGGGTTCAAAGGGCCCCCCTAACCTGTCAGAACCAGCCTGGCCCAGCCAGTCACTCACCTCTTGACGTGTATGAGGAACCTAGTCAGCGCTTCTTCATTGATGCCCGTGAGCAGCAGGCTGTTGTCCTCAATGCCCCAGACTGGCTGGGTGCCCAGGTCCAGCAGGACAGCAGTACCCAGCACTAGAAGCCACAGGCTGGCTCTGGGATGCTGCATGGACAAGGCAGAGCGGGGTCAGGGGGACACAAGGGTGTGACTGTTTGGGATCAGGGTTCACCCTCCCCCCCAGAGATGGGATCAGCTGCTGCAGCTCATGGGCTGAACCAGAGACAGTCCCAGACAGAGACAGAGACCCCCCCCCAACCCCAGGTGGCTGGACTGGGATGAGAGGCGCTGCCCTGGGCAAATGGAAATCCAATTGGGCCAGTGGTAGGTGGGGGCAGAGGAGATTTCCCTGGGGCTCCAGGGAGAGGTGCGGGAGGGCAGAGGGAACTTCCATGGGACAAGAGGAGGTGGAGGGCAGGTGTGTGTGTGTGTGATGGGTTGGATCACAGAAACCCCCTGGGGGCTGCCAACTGATGTGCCAAGACTACTTCTGCCCCTGATGGAAGCTGCAATCAATGGGAGCTGCGGGGGCAGTGCCTGTGGGTGCAAGAGCAGCAGCGGAGCCTCCCTGGCCTTCCATTTGCCTCAGGGGCCACAGGGACCTGGTTGTCAGTTCCTGGGAGCTGCAGTAAGCACCGTCGGGACCGCACACCCTCTCCCACACCCCAACCCCCTGCCCCAGCCCTGATCCCCCTCCACACACCCCAATGCCTTGCCCTAGTGCGGAGCCCTCTCCCGCACCCTGAACCCCTTATTTTTGGCCCCACCTGGAGCTCACAGCCCCATTCCAGAGCTCATACCTCTCCACACCCCAACTACCTGCCCCAGTCCAGAGCCCTTTCCAACACCCCAAATCCCTCAACCCTGGCCCCACCCCAGAGCCCACATCCCCAGCCGGAGCCCTCACCCCCATCCCGCACCCCAACCCCTTGCCCCAGTCCAGTGGAAGTGAGGGAGGGTGGAGGAGAGCGAGTGTCGGAGGGAAGCTTACAAAAAAGAAGCTTACAAGAAGTGGAAGATTGGACAAATGACCAGGGAGGAGTATAAAAATATTGCTCAGGCAT